GTACTCAAGCTTCCCGAGTGCCGCCGCTGCCTTTGATACTCGGATACGAAGCTCCCTGTAGTTGCTGATCAGTGGACGCCAAACTCGCAAGGTAGCAGAAGCGGGAGGCGGTTTCCAATACTACGTCACCAATGTTGATTTGTGTCAATATTGCAGATTGCACCTCCGGTGAAGGATGAAAGAGACAGACAGTTTTGCTTGTGTTGATGGTGAGCCCGAATATGGCCGTTGTCGAAAACACTGCACTAGTCATATTCTGCAACTCATCCGCACTGTGTGCAAACAACGCACAATCGTCAGCAAACAGCAACAATACGGATAGTTGTTTCACAGACTACCGTTTTCGCACTGAAATGACTGATGTTCGGCAGCCCACCATCCATACAGGGCTCCACACGAACACCGTAAGCACAAGCGGCATCAAACGCACGTGACATCATGGCATGAAGATAAGTATTAAGCAGGGCAGGAGCTAAGACATAGCCTTCCTTCACACCGGTGACAACTGCAAACTTATCTGAAGTCTGTCCACTCAGCTGCACCCTCGCCCGCATACCAATGTGCAGACATTTAATTCAACTTAGTCAGACAACCAAACTTCCCCAACACCAGCCACCATGTAGTAAATGCCTTGGTGTAATCAACAAAAGCGAGTACAACGGCTGGTGTCGTTCTCTGCACTTCTCCTGTAACTGACGAGCCACAAACACCATATCGATTGTGCTGCGTCCCGAACGGAATCCACACTGCTCTTCCGCCACGTTCGGTTCCACAAGCTGACTGACGAGACGGTTGAGCAGAATCTGGGCAATCACCTTGCCCACACAACTCAGCAAGTTGATGCCACGATAATTCGTACAATATTGCTCGTTCCCTTTGCCCTTGTACAGTGGTAGCACAAGGGCATGCTTCAGCTCAGGAGGCACCTCCTCCTCAACCCACCCGCGTTGCGCCAAAGGGTGCTGCTCGTTTACAAACGCGGGTCCGCCGTGTTTCAATACTTCAGGCGGGATTCCGTCGGAACCGGCACATTCGCCGTTTCGCAGCTGAGCAAGTATTCTCTACGTCTCATCCAGTGTCTGCGTGGTTGCCATACTCATCTTCACCTCGTGCTTCTTCAAGCCGTTCAATCTTCGGTTGATCACGAAACGATCAAAGTAATTTCGCCCGATCTGCATTATGTCTGCAGTCTGTGTTCAGGCAGCGCCTGAGCTACCATCAAGCAGCGTTCCCAGCAGCTCCAACCTCGATCCATACACCGCCTTCAAGGTGTTAAAGAATTCTTTGGGTTGGCAGCGTCCGGTGTAACATTCCATATGCTTCACCTTCTCCGTCTACCATGCATTTTTAATGCGGCGGAGCTCTCGGGTCATTCGTCGTCTAACCTGCTCTGCCAAACTTGCTCTTCTTCCCAAAGTCACTTGGGTCTGACACTTGTGCAGCAAATTCTACTTTCTTCTCAGACACCAATGCGCCAGTCGTCGCATTGTTGTCATCATACCAATCGGGCTGCTTACAGTTTGCGCGTCTGATGATTTCCTCGGTAGTATCTGTCACCTGGTCGCGAATGAGGTGCCACAGGTCACCCACTGTGGCTATGCAGTCCACATCACACATGTTTGCAGCCATTGCCTTTTCCTGCTTAATATGTTTCTATCCAGTATCAAGGAGAATGTTGCGTTTTCGCCTCCCGTTCACGGCAGGCACACTGTACGTACTTTTCTGCACGTGGGTGTACAATTTGGTCCGTCCCAACTTTTGATCAGTGCCACACTCTCGGTGTCACTCACTCCATGCACTATATGTCATTGGCACTTCACGCATGTCACGCTGACGTACGATGACATCATGGAGCAAATGAGCGTGACCACACCGCGGGTGCATCCACGTCTCTATATTATTCCCACTCAGTTCAAACCGATTGTTCATGATCGTCAAGCCGTGAGTGGCACACAGTGAAGGCAGCCTGTCATCGTTCGCATTCGCTGAACTAATGCCATGCGGACCGATGACATTTTCCCACACCGATGCATCACGCCCAAGACGCACGTTGAAATCACCCAGCAGAAATAGTCGGTCGCTCCTCGGCAAAGAACGTATCACGCAGGACAGCTGAGTGTGGAATTGATCATGCGTGTCATCAGGATAACACATGGTCGTACCGTACGGGCTTATGAAAGTGGCAAACATACCTCTCGAGAGTCGTAGGCGAACAGTCATCAGTCGCGCGCTGTTACCTGCCGGTTTATCCAGCAGCTGACCATTTGGACGATCGGTTATTTCAAATCTGACCCCATGTTCTGGTGGTGCTGAGGTGGCGTTTCCCACCCAGTAGAACGTATAGCCGGCGCCAACTTCATGCAACTTACCTTGCTCAGTGAACCGGGTCTCACTGATCGCCGCAATATCGATGTTGTAGCACGTCAGTTCCATCGTGACCTGTGCAGTGCGTCGCTCGGGGCCCTCACTGGAGTTCCGGTCCAGTAGTGTGCGCACGTTCTAGCTCCTGGTGCTGAGTGCTTTGCGTGCAGGCATATGATTGGATTGGTGGGCAATCGCAGTGAGGTGATCGTTGTGCTTCAGAGGTTTTCTTGACGGACTCCGCCCGAAGCATATGGCTAATTTGCCTGACCCACAAGACAGTGGGTGGTTTGGAGTTTGCTTGAGGGACTCCACCCGGAGTCTTTGACTCAATAGTCTAACGCACAACGCGGTGGGGAACAGATCCAGCTCGGGAATGTTATTGCAGAGACAGATTTAGATGTACTTGAGGTCCGTCATATGCAGCTTTTCAAGTTCTGGAACAATTCATTTGTGTTTTGAGACCGTAGTAAGATACGCACCTGCGACGACGGTCAGGCGCAAGAGGGTTTTGCGGATTTGCACCAATTTGCTTAGGCGCTGCCTGGCTTGAGGTAGGCAGTAGCAAACCATTGAACACCCTTAGGTGCCCTTCCACCTTCAGAGATAATGCGTGGCGCTCGTGCTCTACGCCATTCGAGCGGTGAAATAATAACCCGTGGACCTGTTGTCTCTCATGACTAGGTTTCGTAGGAAGAGGGCCATCTACCACTTCCTAATCTCCGAAGCGGGTGGGGTTTTTTACTAGGAGACTGGCAGGGCGCCAACACCTGACAGGAAAACGACTCGGGCTCTCAGCCAAATACTTCGATTACATGTACACCCGAAAGGCAGCGCGTCTAACACATGGTCAGTTCACTGACTCCTGTATATTAGTGTCCTGGATATTAGCAGGGCGAAGCGCATAACCCAACTACCACCCAGCGGTCGCCACGAGGCGTCCAGGACATGAGCCCATGGCACAACAGCAGCAGCAGTGGGTAGACCATCTGTCAGGATCTAGCCACGGCAAGTGTCAGTGCACCATTTTCTCTCCCACACAGTGAGCTTCATATCAGCGTCTCGAATGCAGCGGCGGCATTCAGGTAGCTTGAGTACCGAGTGTGGAACAACCATCAGCTGACACGAAGCTGGTGGTGTACAAATCCATAGTGCTGTCTGTTCTATACGGCAGTGAAACGTGAACGATGTACGATATCTCGATCAGTTCCATCAACAATCTTTGCAAAAGATTCTGCGCATCGGTTGGTGCGACAGAGTTGCGGACACGGAATTGTTACGCCGAAGTGGAATGTATGCAGTGGACTGCTTACATTTGCTGAGACACCTGAGGTGACTCGGTCATGTGTGGCGTATGAATTCGACGTGGATACCGAAACAGCTATTATATGGTCAACTGAGTGATGGAAAGCGGCATGTGGGAGACCGAATCTTCGTTTCCAGGACATGATCATAGTGAGCCTCTCATGTTCTAATCTTGAATGCAGATCATGGGAATCGAAAGCGGTTGGTCGGCGTGCATCATCATCATCAGCAGCAGCAGTACATCAGCCATTTGAACTGATGCTTCGCCGCCATACAACCATGAGGACCTATGAAATATGGAATAAGAAGAGGGAGAGAAGGGGGACTTACTTGATAACCTTAATGCCCTAAGCAGGTCGGCGTGCATGGCGCGGTCTGATCACGTGGGCAGTTGCCAAGGTGCACGAGAAAGACCTCATGCATGCGAAGAAGAAGCGGCAGTTGCGGAAGTGACAGGCGCCGATGGATTGTACTCCATCGACATCGAGCGCATGGTACTGCAGCACATGCGGTCGCGAGTGCCTGAGTCAGGCAGGCCTAGTGAGCCATGAGCGAGGCCACTCGGGGCTGACACCGAAACGACGACGGGTCCTGCAGAGAACGTAGGCAGAACCGACGTAGCGTTTGTAGGTACGCTGCATTCGACGAGAGAGTGTGTGCAATAACATCCCTTGTGTTCTTCCCGTGCAACCGATTTGTATTGACTAACCGATGCGGTTCTGGGTAGTTACTATTTTTTTAACCTGCCTACATCTATATTAACTACATGCACTCTCACCAGGGCGATATCTCATGGGCCGTTGGGGATCAAAACGTTGCATTATTTTGTCTTCAGCGCGCCAATTTTAACTCCGCTCCATAAAATAATATCGCAGGTACTATGTGCGTTCTTCATCTGACAGCTTTTCTGGTAATCTTTTGTAAGTGTCATTTTGTAAAGTTTTGAAAGCCGCAAGTGGCTTTGAGGTAGTTCAAACCCATGACTTCCGTCATTATGACATTTGACACTATGGTGTGAGCAGGTGGTTGCCAATCCTAGACCCACTATTTGTTGCTATCCTTAATCATGCACAAATCATACTTCCCACTTCGTCTCTTCTGTTTTATCCTTGTCTGATTCTGTTTAATTATTATCGCCATCTTTTTACTGCAATTCCATGCGAGTTGTCGACACACTGCATTATTGCTATTTATCCCTAGCGTTTCTTCAAGATACGTATATATTTCACTATCGTTTAAGAAGTTCCACTCAACCGATACTATTAATCAGGTGGATTAGGTCTAATCAAAGATCTGTTTAGTTCGATAATTGACTCCGTTTGGTCTTGTTTCAGCGCCATCGAAGACCATCGAAAATTATATCGATTTGCGGCTTGTGTTTCGGCTCCTCGGACAAAAACCTCAGTACCAATTTGCCGGAAAATTTAATTGCTTGCTGGAACTGCGGTCAAGCAGGTAACTGGCTTTCCCTATTTCAGAGAGATCACTACATCGCAAATTTTAAGCCTTAACTTTTATCGTATTATGCACATGATCATGTAAACTATCTTAGCAAGCGTTGCTTTATATTTCCGCTTATCCTAGTTTGCGCATTATCATCGCCATCGGCAGTTGGTGCTTCGCCGCCGTACAAGTACATTGGCCTAAAGAATAAAGCATAAAAGAGTGAGGAACCTAGCGTGAAACATTTATGACCTAATCAAACATTCAGGGCTAGAGCATCGACACCTTGCCATAAACATACCCTCATAAACACCTGGCTGTCGTGGCTAGAGAAGGCGACATCGGCGAGACAGCCTTCTTGCGGCTTTCACTGCCATTACCGCATCTAATTCAGCATCAAACACATTTTAAACAAGCAATCCAACCGACAGACGACAGAATGGGACTTCTCTAAATCCATACGACCTTGTGTGAGGTCACAATCAGGGCCATCCCACTCTGTGGGAGCGCGACTTGCCCTCTTCTGTCTGGGGATCTGAGGCCATTTCCAGCTTTTGATCGTTTTTGCCTGCGAAACTTTGCTGGTGTCGGATAGCAGCAGCGTGCCCGCAAACATGATGTGCGTAAAAGATTGCTATGTGTTATTAATCAGGCTCGTTTCCTAGTGCGACAAATACTTACCTGGGCACGTATTACTCATGCCTGGCCACTGTTTATCGAGGAGAGCCTCGTTCTGGTTGCTAAGTGTACGGTAGCGCATGGCTCGTGGTGAACAAATGTCGACTTAGAACGTAGAAGTATAGTCACTGGTTACAAACTTGGGTACTGTTGGTCCGTTTCGTTTTCCGCGCTTGAGTCCACGTGATCCGCCTTGTTCTTGGCTCGAGACGCTAGAGGACCGATGGATGGAAACACTTTTTGAATCTACCACGGCCACGAGAACCGTGCACCCCTTCCCCTCAGCAACATTTCACAGTCTCGTGGAACCAGTAATCGGTGTGCAGCATATTTGACAGGTAGACACCTTGTCAACATTCACCTCAAACGCAGCCACAACGGGAATATCAAGCAATAGCCGACACCTGGAATACAAGAACCTCAACACGTATGCTCACGTACAGACCAGCTGTAATGATGATGTGGCACACGTGCCACATCAATTACCTTATTGTTCTGGGTTAGTAAATCGAATGTAAGTGGACGCAGCGTACTTAACAAGCGCTGTGTTGATGCTAATCAGCAGACTTGTTGTCTTGGATGTTTGCCCCGCGTGGCCACACTGGTGGCTTACCAGGCCCGCTTGGCTTAAGCACTGGCGACCGCATGTGCTACAGCACCATGCGTTTGACGTTGGTGTGTTAAACTCCACCGGTGCCTGTCACCTCCGTACCCGACGTTTTTCTTGCGCTTGCAGTAGTGCTTTGTCCTGTATCTTAGTAACCACTGTCTTGGTTAGCTCATGCTATTCGCACCCATCAACGGTCATCACTTCTCAACATCTGAAATCAACATCAGTTCATGATAACCTCACCTTGATCGTGTCCTGGTAACATAACTTCGGTTTTCCAACCTGCCGCTTGCTTGCACTAAGTTGTCCATACAGCAGTTTCTTGGGTATTCACGTCGACTTCATGCGGCTGATATGCTCCAGCCACCTCAGGTGCCGCAGCAGAGTTATGCAGTCCATTGCCTGAATTCCACTGCAGCGCAGGAATTCCACGTCTACAACCCGGTCACCTCAGTCAATGCTTAAATATCCGACGCATTCACTGTTAATGGAAGCGCTCCAGACAGTGGCCTTACTTTCGATACAGCGTCCACGTTTCACTGCCGTACAGAAGAAAGACAGCGCCATCGACCAGCATACATTCCGCTTCGTCCCAAACGTAAGCTGATGATTTCTCCACACACGATATTCCATTTTGCCGAATGCAGCAGATACCTTCAACACGCGGATGCGCATCTCGCTCTTAATCTGCAAATCGATTGATATTACGCTCCCAAGGTAGCACAATTTCGATGCTGTCTCCAACACATCATATGAAATCTGGATTTGGGGCAGGCCGACTTACTCCATTCTTGGTGAAAGCTGGAAAAGACAAGCACTCTTGCTTGTGTTTATAGTGAATCCGAACTTTGCGTTGTTGAACGGGAACCGTTGTCATTCGCTGCAACTCATTCTCGTTGTGTGCACACAACGCGCAGTCTCACACACTAGGGTTGTCGCCTCGAAACGATGGATCTTCAGCAACCGACAAGTAATGCGGTGGTGCACACGGACACCGTAGTCGCAGGCATTAAAATCACAAGACATCCTTGCATTTAGCTAAATGTTAAATAGGATAGGGGCTTAGACACAGACTTGCTTCGCACCACAGATAACACCAAAGTTATCCGTGGTTTGTGTATGCAGCTGCACGTTCGCCCACATACCACTGTTCAGACATTCAATTGAACTTACACAATTACTCGGCAACCAAATTCACCTAGCACCAACCAAAGTGCCTTGCGGTTCACCGTGTCAAACGTCTTGGTGAAGTCAACAAACAGCGAGTACAACGGCTGTTGTCTACCTCGACATTTCCTTTGCTGTTGACGGGCCGCGTACATCATGTACGGTGTTGCGACTGTAGCCTTAAGGATCACAAGCCTGCCTTGTTATCCGAGGGCGCGGGTTCGAGCCTGCTTAGAAACGGGACGACCCTCGCTTTATCCTTAGCCCACATGCTACCGGTGGTCGCGCGGCTGCAAGGTATCGGTACTGGATACCGGCGTTCTGCTAATACCTTGCCTGCGTCCCGAACGGAGTCCGCATTACTCTTCTGTCACGTTCGGTTTAACGACCAGTGTGATGATGCCGTTGAGCAAGATTCGTCCGATCGCTTTCCCGACACTACTAAACAAGTTGTTACCACGATCATTTGTGGCACATTGCTTGCTCATTTTGCCCTTGTACCTTGTTAACGCAAGGACATGCTTTAGATCAACCGGCACTACTTCAAACCACACGCATTGTATCGTGGTACAGCGTATGCAACAACACTGGTCCGCGGGGTTTCAACACTTTTGGCGATATCCCATCGGCTCCGGCGCACTTACCACTTTGCAGCGGAGCAAGGCTCTCTGCGCCTCAAGCACTGTCGGTGTGTCGGCAAGTCACATTTTCGCCTCTTGTTATTTGCTGCCCAGTTAATCTCTGAACGGTTGTTCAAGAGACAGTCGGTGTTGGCGCTGTATGTGCACTGTCTGCATGTAGCACCTAAAGTGGCATCCACCAGCCTGCTCATGGGCTGCAAGGTGGATCCATACACCGCCTTCAGGGAATCAAAGAATTTCTTATGTTGGCTGCGTTCAGCGTAACATTCCATCTGGTTCGCCTTCTCCGTCAACCACGCATTCTTGATGCCACGGAGCTGTCGAGTTAGTTGCCGTTGCAGTTTGTGAAAATGACTTGCTTTCTCGGAGTCGGAAGGGTCCACCACATCGAATGCTGAATTCTATTCCGACACTAATGCGCCAATGGTCGTACTGTTGTCATCAAACCAGTCTTATGTTTGCGTGCCCGATGGCTTCCTCGGTCGCAGCTGTCATTTGTACACGGATGTCGCACCACGGGCCGCCGACTGATGCGATGCAGTCGACATCGCCAAGGCGAGTAGCCATGGCTTCCTTCAGCTCCATCTTCTTCTCAACAGTAACCAGGGAAATAACGTTAGGTTTTTTCCGGTTCAGCAGGAGTGCAATACATAGATTTATGAAAATATATGTATCATTTGGTCCGCATCAACCTGTGATCAGCACCACACTCAGCTCTACTTAGTACACGTGCCATTTGCACGCATGTCACGCAGTCGTCCGATGACGTAATCGAGTAGGTGAGCCTGACCACCTCGTGGATGCGTCTAGGTAGCAACCTCACGCACATCCAGTAAGAAAGTTGTTTGTGATCGTCAAGCCATAAGTGGTGCACAGTGAGAGCAACGGCTCACCGTTCTCAATGGCTGCGCCAATGCCTTCGGCCCGATTGCGTTTGTCCCTTCCGGGGCACCACGTCCAACGCGCGCATTGGAATCACCCAGTAAGAATATATGTATATGTGTTGCAATCATGATGCCTCTTCACCACGTTTGGGCTAGGCCAACTTACACTTAAATTAGGTCTTTTTAAGCTGGATAAATTTCATTCCACTTTATTTGGTTTGTTCTGTCTACCTGAATAATCTTCTGTTAACTTGCACTCGTTGCCTACGCTAACTGCGCTCATCTTCGATAACTATTGCGTTTGTAGCATCTTTTAAGTAATTTGTGGACATTTCGCACTTATCGCGGATTCCTTACTAACCGAATTACTTCATTTGCTAATTTAGCGAAGAGTTATGTCTTCATAGCCGTTGCCTTAACAGATACACTTTATATGATAACGTTATTTCGAGTGATTGGTTGTTGCTTGATATCCCCGGTGTGGCTGCGCTTGATGTGCATGTTGACAAGGTGCCTACCTGTCTAGTACCCACTACCTCGTTCATACTGGCTCTAGGAGACAATTGGTCGTTGTTGGAGGGGACGGGGTGCACGGTCCTTGTGGCCGTGCTAGGGTCAAAGAGCGGTTCCATGCACTGAGTGTGGAGCGGACTACGGTCCAGCCACCGCCTTGTGCACGCTGGATCCCCAAGTACGGCGTGTTTGTGCTTGCCTATGAAGGAGTGTGGGCCGGCTCCGTTGATGAAACCTGGCTCCCATCCACTGCCTCCCGGTTTTATACCTTCGGTTTTACACTGGATATGGGGTGTGTGGTTGGAGCTGTGAGTGATACAGAACAAGCCACCCATTCTCCCTCTGTAGGCGCAGGCGTTCTGTGGCTGACCACAGTGACAGGAAAATCCGAAACCGGATGCAGTCTACCATATATATATATATATATATATATATATATATATATATATATATATATATATATATATATATATATATATATATATATACGATCACGTCCCATTTAATAGCGGTATGTGTCGTCCGACTGGCTGGCTCGGTCAATGCTTCGAAGTCGCGCGGGGCTAGTTGGTTTCTGTCGCGACCACATACGTGCGGACATGCTGTTGCGCTGACTCGGTGAAAGACAACTTCTATCATTAACTCAACCAGCTCCTTCGCCGCAGTATATGCGCGGATGCTGTAGTGTCTTTTGGGGTTCTGAACGCTCAAGTTAAAAAGTCCTCCACCGTTGAGCTTCGTTTGGGTATCCGACACGGTATATACTCCCGTAGTAATTAAAACCTTGAGCGGTTACTTCATTTGTGTGAAAATGCTCGCTTATTTCTTACGTGTGCAAACTTCTGCACATCACCTGCTGGAGGTTGACCTGCACCCCACCAGCCATGGTCGCAAATTGATCACCTTGCGATCAGTTACCGCTTTAGATGCTTCGTCCAAAACTGTCGCTCTATTTGGAACACGTGTGTGAATACTGACCACGCACTTGTATGTGCTGATCTGCTGGTGCGTTTTGGCATACGCCTGTGACGACGCTGTGAGCACATAGACACCCACCAACTGGGGAATCCAAATGTTCTGAATGTGTATCTCAGTACGCTGGCATTCGAATTGATTGAGCGCTCACTGAATACCGTTGAATGTCACTGATCCTCTTGTTCACCAAACCTTCCTAGTAGCAAACATATACGCGTGTGTTAGATCTAAGCTGGACATTGCGCCTCTACGCAGTCTGAATGATCGCCGGCACCTTCAGGCTGGAAGCGTACGCAAGGGTACTTGCAAAGACCTCAGGGCGAAACTCCGTCCTAGCCTGAAGAGCGACTGCGAATCCAAGTGGTCTTATCGTGCGCCGGAGATGAAGGTGACCGTTACTCTTGGTAACCATCACAAGTTATTTTGTCTGATATGGGAAAAGATAGTAGGAGACTTGATGTTAGTTAATCTATATGTGACTAGAGTGAACAGCCTATGCACACTTGTCGAAACACTTGGAGCGTTGGACTGAGCAGTTTGAAAGGAATTGTCAGATTTCTCACTGACCAGTGATCGCTCTGCTCCCTGGACTGCCTTTCCCCCTTGGATCCGCTCTCTCGCTCAGAGGTCGAACGTAAGATCAGACTGCTGAAATTGAACAAGGCCACGGGATCAGATGCTCTTTCAGTGTTATTGAGCAGACATTTGTGGCTCCTTTTGGGGAGGACGCTTGCCAAGTGGAAATTCACCGGGAACATTGCCACTTGACCATCCGCCGGAAGAGGAAATGCCCGAACCGCCCAGCTAGCAACACGACGTTGTTCGACAATCAAAAGTGACTGTACTTTCCAAACCCACTCGCTTTAGCGTCTACGAATGTTGGCTGAACGATCAGTTAGTGAATTTTTTGGGCTTACAAAATTTCGCCTTTTGACACAGAGACTTCGCCATCGGTTCCAAACATATTCCTTGTTTCCTAACACTCAATTTGTCCCTATCAAAAAGGTACTACAGATCAATCTCAGACTGTGCATCCAGAGTATAACATTTGGATGTATGATCCAGCTATCAGTGTTTCTTTTTCTTCTGTTTTCCATTCCTTCCGAATTTCCTCTTAGACCATCCGTGGTGTCACTTCTGGCTAACATGGATGATATTCGATTTTCAACTTAGGATGCCACTTCGCATTTTTGCTCTCAACCGTCATCACGCCACGCACACTCCATACGCTGTCGAAGTGGTTGTGTGCCAAGTCCCTAAAACGCAAATAGCCACTAGTGCCGTAACGCATCTTAAACTGCCATTCTCGGATTCCAGCAGCTGTTCTTACACACTGTCATCAAAGATGCCGAACCCTTGGTTCGCGTCGTTTATATCATTGTAGTCGCTCATCAGAATATGCTTTTTCCTCTAGCTTGGACCCAAATGAATTGTCACAGATGTACGGTTCGGTTTCAAAGCTCAGCCAGAGTCATTGGGCCACTACCGGATATAAGATTTTTGCATATGTGGAAGCCATCAGAGATTAACCTCAGGCGGTCCTGTTTGTTCTAATAACTTGGAATAAGGACATCTTGATCGTTACAGGTGACATTAATAATCGATGGCACTGCGTACTTGGACCAGAGCACAGCTTCGGAGGCTGTTTTGGGGCCGACGCCGGTGGCGAGCGTCTTCATTATATTCTGTACAGACCATAGCGCTTATGATAGCAGCGCGATTTTCTAGAATATATATGCACATCTAGTCACTGGTAAAATCCAAACGAAAGCCACTTCGAACTCTGTTAGCATCCTTGGATATATTCGTCACTTAAATCACTCACGTATCATTTTCCATAGAAAGTGTGGGATTTATGTCCATCCTATACATTATGACCTAGGCCAGTGCAGTATTGCATGTCAAAGATAAAACTGAACACTCGCTTATCTAACACCTAGGACTACTTTTGTCCCAAATTTTTCATTCTCACTGTTTCATATTAACCATCATTTGTCTTAACTTATTTTGTTCTTTGTTCCTTCTTATGTTCTTCCGTTGTTTTAGGTCATCCGACATGTTTGAAGATGCCCCCAGAGTTGGTTGCCCACGTACGCTCTCTGCGCTGGTGCTGCGTGGAATGCAAGCGCTGTTGTCTATGTCGCTCGAAATCCAAGGCCTCTACTCGAGAAAACGTTGAACCTGGGTCCGATTTACTCTTGTGTGATTCCTGTGACCGTGGCTTCCACATGTCGTGCCTAGATCCACCTGTCTCACATTTGCCCGAAGGTGATTTATGTGCTTCGTCCTTGTCATAACAGTGTAGTCCTTTGTTTAACAGTGTTTCCGGCATTTCTCAACGTCGTTTGGCTGCTCAATTGCTGTCCATAGTGCCTTACTACTGATGCCCTCCTAACAACTGTTACTCGCTATTCTTTGGCTGTTTGTTTGCATATCAGTTTCTATGTTAACGTAGATTTCCTCAAGAGCACCAGTATTTTTTGGTTACGCATAAGTTGGCCGATCTTGAGTTGGTCGTTTTACTTTCTTACCTCAGCTCTTTTACACATGTCCGCACCCAGCTAATAGATGTCCCCCTCCCAATCCTTCAGTTCACAGACTGAGATGCTTGTATTGCATCTAGCAGCGCAATTACCTGGGAATTTCGTGCAATTGTCAGGAGACCTTTTTAGACCTTCCTAAGTTTTCTGTCTTCCGTAGAGATGGGGCATCGACTTTTGGCTGATGATCTGTAATTCCCTGTCACCCCCTGAATGCGTTAAGTGATTGGTTATCCTTGATCACAGGTGCCCACTACTATATAAAGTGATCAATACTGAATTCTGCCAGCGGGCACGCGCCGGCTTACATAACCAGGGCGTCTTGACTCATACAGGAGCGGGGTCGCTGAGTCTGGAGCATAGGTCGCTAGCAAGAAACCGCAGGTCTCCATACACCGTGTTAATCAGCGACTGTCATTCGTGTCGAAATGTGACATGAAGTGTTCTCAGATGCCACTCACATTTTCAGTCTTGAGCTACATGTGTGCTTCCTTTTGCTGTCTTTGAATTGGCCCTGTTGGCACGACTTTTTCATGATTTACTTGCGGCGTGTCGTGATTGTGCTATCACAGCCGAGTGGTGCGGCCGCACATCACACTCTGCCCGCCCTCAATTAGTCGCCACATCTGATCACGAATACTCGATATTCCTTCGCACACAAACTTACAGTTATATACTCTCCAATGAAAGATCGAAAGCGACTATACCGATGTGCTCTTGTTAGGCGATTTTCTCATTCCGTGTGCAGTTGGCGACTACTGATATTGTCAACCATACTACTTTCTGCACTTGGGTGACGAGTTATACCACACATGCAAATTACACACCAAAGGAAGGGGAATCAATTCAACGGTGGAGTCGGTTGCTCAGTTACGGAGGCTGAGAAGTAACGGCGACATCATCTGCACTAGTGCTCAATGAACGCAACCCCTTGGATTTTTGTTTTTTTTGTTTTCTCCAGGAAATTGGATATGTCCCATATGTTCTCCCGTGAACAATGAAGACCCCTCGGCTTTTGTTGATCCTCGGTTGGAAGCCATCCACCTCAACGATCAGCTCAGTCAGTCTGAAATCGACTGGATGCATCGGACTCTCAATCTCAATGGACAGGTCTACTCGTCCTCACCCTCGCCTAAACTTGTACATTCGACCCGAGTAAACACTGTTGATTCGCACAAAGTGCCCATATCCTCCCCTGTACATTGTCCTGTCTCCCCAACGTCCATTGTATCAAACGCCTCCACGAATAACCTTGACCGAGGGAGCACACTCAAAATTTCTAGGCGTTTGGTTCAGAAGTCACTGGCTTCTTGGACGATTCCGAAGACACGCATCTCTCCTGGCAAATTCCGACGACCGGACGCAACTTCTGCGATTGAAAACTCCCCTGTTGGTGAGTAGTTCTTTCAGTGATTCCTTCCAAATGCTGAGATTTTAAATTTTATTCTTTTTTACATGTTATGGAAAATAGTACTTTTGAAAATTTGTGTTATTTTCGAAAACATGATGCTTTTTTTAAGAAACAAGTTGCATTCTGGAAGCAAATACACAATTGTTTGTAGATTTGAAGTGATGATGTTTAATGTTCCTTTCAATGATATAATATAACAGACAGTTACCTATCATAAAAATATATGCAGCCCAAACTTGCACATAAGATGTGTTCCATTGCTCCTGTGTGGTATGCCCCAGAGCAGGCTGCGTGTAATGGCACATCACCTACTGGACAGAGTAGATTAGCCTTATTTCCACATGGACGACGTCTTCTTTGTTTTGGCGTGGATTCGAAGTGGTGTACAGAGTAAGATTTCCTGATTCAGTCCTCAACTTTTGAGCGTTTGCTACAGGGTGCAATAAAATTTTGTGCGACATTTGTATCCGCTACATGCACTTGTAAGTAAACTTTGACGACAGCTTATTTGAAGGAAGGCCTGATATGTTGCTCTTGCTCAGTTGCAGGTGCTTTTCTGTACACATGCTAAGCATTGTTCATTGCAGCGTCAGGGAGAGAAGCGAATAGCGACCACCATCCCTTTTTGCTGCGAAAACTGATTCTATATTGACCGACATTTTGGTCCAGTCGATCCACTCGTCCCATGGAAGTGCCATACTCGCTAACAATGTCAGATTGTTCAATGAGTATGTTTTTTGTCCTTCGCTGACCACCTCTTTTCTTTTGTCAGAGGATGTCCACCAACAGAGTTAGTGACAAGATTCATAACGGAGTTATTATTCATGCACAAAACAAACACGTCATCTCACCTGTCAAACCTGTAATCCTAAGTACTATATTACTTTTCGCAGGGTCTCCGTGTCGATGGGGCACTTGTCGGTCTTATTCCCTCGAACTGTTCCCGTTGCTCTTATGTCGTCGGTTAGCGCTTTCATGAACGGCTAGTATGTAACAAGAAGAATGTGATAGGACCACCCCTTCAGGAGCTTGCCCATTAGGCCCCTAACAATGCCATATCCCAAATCCAATGTCTTGTCATATTTGGCCTGAGCTCCTTGGTAGAGATCCAGATAGGCAACAGAGCCTAAAGGAGTTGCAATGACACTGTTTCTACCTGCATTTAATTGTCTTTATTTCTGATGCACCGTTTTAGTCCATGGTGGCTGTAATATGGTATCATGTACGTTCAAATTTTCTTCCGTGGGGAAGAATCTCATAAATCCTTGAGAAGATTATCTGCTTGGAAATTGACAGATGACAGATGAAGACAGCTCATGGTTATGTCAAATCTGTTCCAATTCATTGTTTGACTGATGGCTGCATTGTGGACTTGTTGTTCAGGATCCCAATACATGTGCCTTCATAGTAATGGACTATAGTCAGAGATAAGCAGAATGGCACACGTTTCAGCCGTGATTATACTGAATGATTGGTCACTTTTTGAACGGGCGCACTCATTTGTCTGCCTACTCGTGTGCTCAATAACTGAGTTATCAGAGAATTCTTCAGTCGATTTACACGGTGTAAGATCCTCCTTTAGGAAGTCAGGCGCATATTCGGACCATTGTCTCTGTGTCTGTGGTCATGGACAGAAGTCTTCTTTCCTCCATAGTCTAGGTTTGATATCTTTTTGAGTGTTTATTGGAGAAGCAGGCATAGGGGCAGCACCTTCCTCTCGTAAACTTTTATTGATACTTTCTGGTTCGCCCTCCACATGACTACTACTAATCCATGAAGCAATGCTAATCTAGTCTCAGCGTCACTGCGTAATTGCCTCGCTGACAGATCAAGAGATTGAACATCCTGAATCACCGTAGATATCATCTTCATCCGTGTTTTGTCATCACCCGGAGGCGCAATGTCAATTCTGGCTTTCAGAACACCGTCAGCTTTTATCATGGCGATTACATCTACAGAATACATTTTGCGATCCATGTTGAAGGAAAGAACGTTAACTGAATTATAGTTTACACACATTTTACCAAGAAACTGACGAAAATGAAAATGCTTGATACTACAATACAATATGTTTCACATTTCAATACCATAAATGTATAGAAGCATGTATAAAATATGAGCATATTTTCAGTCATCCTACCAATAATTTGGTTATCCCCAAACTGCATGTCACGGTATCATTTGTTGCTGGCGTCCTTAAAGAGGAACAGATGATTGCAGTTCATTTATGCAAAAACTGTCACACATTTTAAATGATTATGTCTGTTTTTGATATATAGCTTAGTACAAGTATAACAAAAACAAATGAAAAATACTTGAAGTATACTCACCTTTATAGATTTTCCATTTTTTTAACCAGTTGTGATCCGTACATATATATATATATATATATATATATATATATATATATATATATATATATATATATATATATATATATATATAATTGTGGTCTCAATAACTGAGTTATCAACGAAGCGTTCAGTTGATTTACACGATGTAAGATCCTCCAGAACTAACTCCAGCCAAATGTGAACTATGAGAAACATGGACAATCTCGCCTCCAGCAGTATTCCACCATTCACATGAAATTAAATGCTTCATCAATGTTGACTTACCATCATTCGTTAGTCCAGGCAAATAATGCTGATTCAGGCTAACATACTTAGACAGGCGAAACTTTTTTCCATTATATGATATACATGGTTCGCAGCATCCGGATTTGCCTGTCACTGCGGCCTCCACAGTGACAGCCACAGGACGCCTGCATCTACAGAGGGTCCATGGGTGGTTTGCGCTGCACCACCCACAGTTCAATCCACACACCACATATCCGATGTAAACCCTCAAGGAATAAGACCGGGAGGCATGTAGATGGGAGTCAAGTTTCATCAGCGGAGCCCATCCACACCCTTTCACAGGCAAACACAAGCACGTTGTATTCGGGGAATCAAGCGCACACAAGACGGTGGTTAGGCCGTAGCCCGCTCCACGCACAAACCTTATTCACAGAACCATTCTTTGAGCTTAACACCACTGTCTCCTAGAGCCAGCGTAGATGAGATAGCGGGTAGTAGACAGGTAGGCACCTTGTCAACAAGCACATCAAGCTCAGCCACACCGGGGATGTCACGCAAAAGCCAATCACTTGAAACAACGATATCAAATAAAATAAGTCGAATAAAGCGTGCGGATACTTCTACTTAACTTTGCTGAGTTAACATATGAAGTAAAGATCTACTCTGTTTATTCGCGATACATTCAAGGTGGCAGAAAGAAGATCGAAAAGCTTATGCAAAAAATGCGATGATATTTAACTAAGTTAACACCTTTCATTGAATCGACAGATGCAAGTCAACCGATTATTCAGTTAGCCACTATAATGTGGTAAAAAAGTAAGCATTAAGACAATATAGCAAACCTATCACCTGAAATAAAGAATTTCAGCACTTAAGCATGCAGTTAGTAAATCAAATAAGAACGCATGCAGCGCACCTACCAACACCGCGCCGGTTCTGTTTACATTTTCAGTAGGACCGGTCGTGCTTTTGATACTGGGCTGGAGTGGCTTTGCTCGTGGCTCACTAAACCTGCCTAACTCAGACACTCGCGACCGTAGGTGCTACAGTACCATGCGCTCGGCGTCGATGGTGTACACTCCATCGGTGTCTGTCGCTTTCACACCTGCCGCTTCTCCGCATGCACAAGGGCTTTCTCCTGAACCTATGCAACTGCCCTTGATCAGTTCGCGCCATGCACCCCGATCAACGACCTCCGATTCCCAACATCTGAAATCAACATTAGAACGTGATATGCTCACCTTAATCATGTCCTGATAACAAGGCTTCGGTTTCCCCGCATGCCACTTCCCCACACTCAGTTGTCCATATAACAGCTGCTTCAGTATCCGCGTCGAATCCATACACCACACATGACCGAGCCACCTCAGTTGTCTCAGCAACAGTATGCAGTCCACTGCCTACATTCCACTTCAGCACAGCACCTCCGTGTCCGCAACTCTGTCGCGCCAACCGATGCGCGGAATCCTTCGCAGACACGGTTGGTGAAGCTGCTCGAGATATCTCACCTCTCGCCGGTCCATCGTCCATGTTTCGCTGCGTATGGAAGGACGGACAGCACTATGGACTTGTAGACCATCCGCTTTATGCCAACGGTAAGCTGGTTGTAGTTCCACACTCACTACTCGAGCCTCTCGAATGCATCGCTGCCTGAGGTGGCGTTGCCCATCCGGTAGAATGTGTAGCAGGCACCAGCTTCATGCAACTTACCTTGCTCAGCAAGCCTGTCTCGTTGAGCGCCGCAATATCGATGTTGCAGCGCACCAGTTCTATCGCGACCAGTGCAGCGCAACGCTCGGGGCGCTTACTCGAGTTCCGGTTTAGTAGTGTGCGCGCTTTCCTGCACTCGATGTTGAGTGCTTTGCGCGCAGGCTTACGATTGCATTGTTGAGCAACCATATTGGTGGTGACGAACCGGATTAGAGGAAGTAGTGCGTTAAGTGGAACGGGACGGGGAGAGTATGTGCATGTGAAGATGCAAATAGGGAGTCGCCAGCAGTAGCATGTTTTCGCTTATTCACTCTGCCGTGTGCAACAGACAAGGCGACCCTCTTCCTACCACCACTGCGCTACGGCCGTTGAAGCATCGATTCACGGTTATTGGCGTAATGTATATATATATATATATATATATATATATATATATATATATATATATATCCTTCTTTTGTCTGGGATCCAGGACACACAATGCCGCTTCACAATACTCAACTGACCATATAATAGCTGTTTCGGTATCCATGTCGAATTCATACGCCACACATGACCGAGCCACCTCAGGTGTCTCAGCAAAAGTATGCTGTCCACTGCATACATTCCACCGGCGCAACCATTCCGTGTCCGCAATTCTATCGCATCAACCGATTCTCAGAATCCGTCGCAAAGATTGTTGATGGAACAGCT